TCTAAGTTTCAAACTTGAAATAATATATTAAAAGATAAAAACTATGAAAAAGTATAAGAAATATTTAAAAAATATATCAAAGTAAATATTTTTATGTATAAAATAAAATTTTAAAATTATATATATAATGTCGGGTTGGTTTGGTCTCGGATTGATTTTTTTTAGTTAAAACCAAACCAACTCAATTATAGTCGGGGTTTTTTTTTCGCAAGTATAAATTTTTAGAAGAGTTTGATGAGTAACTTGATCTTCATTATCCTAGGAAATTACTGTTCAACTTGAAGTTATTTTCGTTTGATACTGACTAATTTTATGAAATGGACTATTTGATTTAAAAAATTTGTGTTGTTTCGTAAAAAGGAAGCTTTTTATATATTGAACAGTTGGACGAATCAGAAGAAAGAAAATAGATGTCGATGTCAATTTCAAACACTGAAATTACAATGAAAGAAAATTACAACGGAAAGAAAATGAAGAAATAACAACAGAACTTCACTGAGATTGCCATGAAAATGCATCAAATATGTGAGTTGTTACTTGTTGGCTATGCGCAGAAGGGTAGTAAAAAGTTGTTGAGGCTTAGACATCATGATCATGTGATCAGAGCCTGTGATCTCTTCCACTTCATTAGGAGGATTATTTTCAATCATCCATCGTTGAAATTCTTTGTTAAAAGCTTTACTTTCAGTAGCAACAATGAACACTCGCCTAATTGATCCATACCTTTTCCTTGAAAGAACTATATATCTCCTTAGAAACATCTTCAGCATGATATAAATATAGTGGCCTTACTAGTTTAGTCGCCATCGTCCAATCCTGATTTAAATCAATTTCAAGTTGATGTTACAATTAAGCACTTAAATATGTGTTATGATTTGGTTACGTACCTTAATTGGACTCAACTGGTAAAGATTACTTGCCAAGAACTTCGAACCTAGGATGAGGGTGGTTGGAGGACTCGTAGGTCCATTGTCGTATGCAACGCGATTATCAAGTTCAGGTAGTACTGCACTACATGACTATAACGAAGTATATTTAGTTTCAAACATGTAATTAAGAATTTAAATACAATGTGGAAAATTGGTA